GCAGTTTTATTATGAATGTATTCCTTTTTCAACAATTAGAACAGGATAAATATGATATGACGTCAAAAGAATAATTTCATAAAGTCTCAATACATCAAACAGAAGAAGCAGGATGTGTTCATAGCACAAGATAACATGTACTTTTTGTTAAAATGTTTGGATGATGCAGTGATAATAAGTTCTGGGAGTAGGAAGTTGGTTACTTGAACTTGTCCCTGGAGTTTAGACACTAAACACCAACATTTTTGATAAATGCAAATTAAAGTGATGTGGCTACAACTGTGTTGGAATCGTTTTCCCGTTATTTTGGCCTCTATTTTCATTTTGGTTTTCAATCCACTATAATTCAGTGTTCAGTAAATATAGTATCCACAGAAATGGGGCACCACCGGCAGCTTCAACAGCTTCGCCCAAAAGGAAGATTCCTGTAAAGGGGACAGGACCACCTGAATTACTGACAGGTAAGCCTGGCTTGAATACATGCCAGGCTGCCTGCCAATCAAACAGCCCAGTACACCACATTTTTGGTGACAGTTCCCTGGTCTCCTCAAAATCTAGACAACCAAAAACAAAGTCGTAACGGCAGGGCAGGACTTGAAAATTAGCAATATCCCGCCATATCAGGATGGTTGTGAGATGATATTTAGTGAACGAGTCTGTCCACTACTCCATGCAGGTATAGAAAGAAACTATTCACTGAAACAAAGACTGCAGGACTGGTTGGAAACTTTAAATATGTTTAATTAATGTGCAGCACCAGGTGGTGCTGCACATTAAACCTTCCAGAAGCAGTTTGATGAAGAGCCTTTCTTGGTTTAGCATTCCAATGTACCAAATCTAAAACACTAATTCCATTCAGAAATGATTTGTTATGATCTGTGTGGAAAAACCTGACTATCCAACAGTACTGGACCAGCAGCATTCTAAGAGTTAATCTACTTTTCGTCGAAAAAATGGGATTCCTAAATCAGCAGAAGCTGAAAAATCTCATAATAATTTCTTCTGCCAGCAAAGCACCTGACAATTCAAAAGTAGCTTAAAATTTATAAAGATTCTATTTCCGTTGATCTGCCTATCCATTTATATGAAATAAAGCTAGCTACTAAGTTATTCTATTAAATCAAGGTGTGTCTAGCAGCAGAAGACGTTACACTCACTTGCTATACCAGCAATGTCAGAAGAAGTTTAAAAGATTACTCATCTAGACTACAAGCAATAATCCTTGACTTTATAGGTTGAATAAATTACAAAGTACACTGATAAGCCACAACATTAAAACCACCTGCTTAATATCGTGTAGTTCCATCTCGTTCTGTCAAAACAACTTTGATGCTCTGAATGTGTCCTGTGGTATCTGGTACCAAGACTTTAGCAGCAGATC